AGGCAATGGTCGGTCACTCTGGACAAGCGGTGGCACGCCGCAGTGAGGCCAGGCGAAGCGGTGCAGTGTTGTCTCAACAGCGCATGGCCCTCCGGCCTGGACAGAGGTCAGAGGTGCCACTGAAGGGCAGGTCAACACAGAACAACAGACACAAAGGCCCAAGTTCACATGCACTTTTGATTCAGTCAGTCTTTGGTGCTCATTGGAGAGTGCTGTCACGGCAAGATGTGCCACGCTGGGACAGGAAGGAGGGGACATCAGCAGAGGTAGAACTCAGAAAAAGTCCAATTATTGCAGAGACGGAGTGTCCCTCTTCTGCTGAGAGCGGACACAAGCGGTTACCGAAAAAAAAAAATATCCTTAGTGGTTTGCAAACTCCGCACACAGCGTGAGCAGACGAGGGTTCCTGGGAGTGGTGGGCCAGCCATGGTCAAAAAGAAGCGTTACCATCGGGGAGCCTGCAGTGGCCTCGGCTTCTGGCCCTGCGTCAGAGCCACAGCCTGTCCTAGCAAGCAGCCCCTGGGGAAGTCCACCAGAAAGGACTCCTTCTCAGGAGGAGAGCTGGGCCTGGTGTCCGAGAGGACAGGGCAGGAGCAGGACTCCGTCTTCCTGAGGGCCCAGCGGCTGGCCCTCAGTCCCAGGCAGCCTTCCTGCTGACTCCACCAAACACATCGGGCATCTCAGGTGGCCACATCCGGCCACACGAGGACCTCTGTGACAGGCCTCTGGCCACGGTCACTTCAGTCCCTAAGACAGAGATGCTGGTAAAACATCCAGCTGATAAACCTACGTAGTTTGAGTCATTAAACTTCTCCCAAAATGCCATCTTTCCTCAAAGTGATGAGGTCTAGCTTCTTAGGGTGCCAATTGGTCCATGAAAGCAGGCACTTGCCTTGGCGTGAACACTGTAGCCATTGACTGACGCACTAATTCGGCAGACGAAGGGTAGAGGTCAGCCAGGACCCCCAGCGGCAGTGCAGCAAACCCCCAGGCAGTCCTCAAATGCTCTTCATCGCTCTCCCTTGCAGAACCGAGCGCCATGGCTGTGCTGTGAGGACAGCTGTTTCTCGCTGTATGTCCTCCAAGTTCAGATGTCACCAAGGGCACTGCCGCCCTGGCCTGCCTCCCTGGCATCCATGAAAGGCCTCTACCAGGTCACAGGAGATGCACAAAGCTGTGCTCACGGCACAGCGGTCTGAAGGCCAGTTTCTCAAGGACTCTCTCACGTCTGTGAGGTGTGTCCATTGTGGGGAGGCCCGAGGAGGGGAGCGGACAGGCCTCATACAGCAAGAGCCTAACTGAAAGCGTTAGAGGAGCTTGAAGGAAGTGGTGTGAAGTGTACGTGATATCGTAACACAAACGAGCATTAAGTAGCCGTAGGACAGAATCAGATTGCATACACATCCCTCAAGTACAATGCACTGCACGTAGTCTAAATCGGCACAAAAACACAGCCGTCCACATGGTAAGATGTTAACGTGAAACTCAAGCGAAGATGTGCAACAACTCTGGGAATGGACAGGCCCCTCAGCTGAGAAGGCTCTGGTACTTGGCCAGTGTTACAGGGCTGCGGTGAAGAAAGGGGCTAACGGGGTGAAGCAAGGGGGACCTCAACATGTAACTATTCAGTCAGAATCCAGAACATCTCCCGGCACACACCAATGTATTACAGACACGGACGTGAGGGTGGGTTCAGCAATTGGCCTCACACACCCGGGAAGAGGAAACCTGCTGGCCAGCCTCCAGGTGTGCCTCCCTCCCCAGGTGCCAGTTCTCACTAGCCCACTGGTTTCTGGTTCACAACTTTTTGGCTCTGGGCTGCGGCCAGCCATCACCTAGCATGCTTGGGCTGTTTCAGTAGTGAAAGGTGGGTCCCCTCCATGTGCACAGATGTGGGGTGAGCTGGGGAGAGCAGACACAGGAAGGGGTGTTTCTGCTGCTAGGGGCCTGCAGGAACCAAGTGTCCTTGACTGGGCTCCTGCTTGGTGGACACGTGGCAGCACTGTTCTTAACCAAAGTAGCACGTGGGTGTTTGTTAAATGCCAGCACTTGGGAGGGGCCCTCCAGGTTCTCATCTACTGGCTTGCCCCCCCATGTTAATGCTGAAGGTGGGAGGAGGGGGACCACTGCTCTCAACAGAATCCTGCCTGAGAGGAAGGACCAGACAATGAGAGCACGGGGGGGGGTGTTTCCGGAGGCCACAAGACAGGACTTCCAACCAGCAGGTGCCTTGGAGCTGGGTCATCGACATTTACCCAAGCTGGAGCAAACCAAAAGGTTTCTAAAGTATCCATTCACTTGGTCAGAATAAATACACTTGTAGATCACCCATCCCCGCACTGGAGGGATGCTCTAATCTATACGCACATGTAAAGAAAGAGGGCGGTGCCTACAGCTCAGTGGGAAGAAAGGAGGCAAGAGTTCCCAGGTTTTTTATCGGGTCTGAAGGAATGCTCTGAGGCTCATGGACAAGATTACCACAACTCCCACTCAACAACAGAGAGAAAGCCCGCGGCAGAGAGGTGCTGGGCGGGGGACAGCGAGTGCTCAAGGGAGACCATCCGAGCATCGCTGGTCAGGCACCCCACGGTTGGCTGGACCTCTGTGCTCAAGGCTGTACTAAGATGGGCAAAGGCGTCACAGAGGCCAGGTGGACCTGCTGCAGGGCAAACGAGGCCCACTCCCTCTTGGCATTTAGGGCCTGATTTTATGAGCTGTGGGCAAGATGACTGTAAGAGGTGGACCCTGGGCGCAGTGTCTTGTCCTATGCAGGGTGATCTCTACCAAGGTCACAGTGTGAAGGTCACGTGCTCGCCTCAGGGAGGGGGATGGCAGGCAGCAGGATCTGGTACCACCACGGCCCAGGTCACCAAACCTCAGTGCTGTCCCCTTATCTGCTGGCTGCCTGCTGGAGGTTTACCATAAGGGAACTGCCTGGGCCCTCTGGGTCTTATTTTCATGTTCTAGAGTAGTTTGCACACGCACGTGTGGGCACACAGTCCACCTGCTGGGGTCAGCGACTAGCAGTGGAAAACACCATCAAGACAAGCACACCCGGCACTAGACCTTGGACAAGCTGCTAGGACGAGCCTGCGAAGCTGGTCCACAGCGGGCCCAGCTCTGCCTTCTTCCCACTCACTTCTCTGGGGGCAGCGTATGGGGCGGGGGTCCACTTTCCTTCTCTTGGCTGCTGGCTGGACTGAGGCAGGGGATGTTGCGTTCTGCCAGGCAAAATGTACCAAAGGAACAGAAACGAGCCTCACAGCAGTGTCAGGCACCAAGAAGTAAATCCATGACAAAACTGGCGGTTGGCTGGTGTGGCATAATCAGAGTCCGGCTTAGGGACAGGGGTGACATTTCTAAAAATCTACCAGGTTCCTATCACTAAGCCAGGCTCCGGGGGATAGTGGGGGGAGGCAACAGGCAAGAACTCAGCTTTATTAACACTGCGAAGCTGCTCCCCGCTCCCTCACGGACACTGTCCACTGTGAGGGACACTGTGAGGAAAGGTATTGCCTGGGACGCCAAGGCCACACCATGCCTCGCGGAGCTGGTCACGCTGCCACTGGGGCAGTGAGGCCTAAGCAAGAGCCCACTTCTGGTTAGTATAAGAACTTTTTATTTGACATGTACAAGATTTTGATATCTTGCAGCTTTTGACCAGGTTTATTATACAATCTCAGTTTTAATAGTGCAACTTGTGCAAGCAAAAAAAATAATAAAAAGATAAAGGAAACGAAAAGACCAACTGTCCCCTCAACTTGTTTATAAACATCTATTATAGGCGAAACAAAACTTACCCATATTATAGATAAGTGTCTATTCACATTTGTACATTACCATTTTTAACAATTTGAGATAAACTCTACAATGTCTTACAACACAATAAACAAACTTCAAGTTACTGAGTAACGACGATAACAACGAAAAGAAAACATACAGCAGGAGTCGCACGCGGCTTCCTCGGTGTGGACTTTTTAACTCAAGTAAGGCTTCCTCTCAGGAGGGACAGAGCAGACAGAGTGAAGTCAGAAAGATTGCTTTTGCAAGATGGAAGCCAATTTGTACTTCTGTCTAAAAACTAGCTTTTTTCAAGTTACGCAGGATGAATTTTAAGAAACAGGCTTGTAGCCATTTCTGCAGCACACATTAGGAATCCTATCATTATACATTAAAAGAACTTTTCCATTTTATCATACACACATACACAAAGAAAAAGGATGTACTCACAACCTAGGGTGCTGGGCTGGGCTGGGGCTCGCAGGACAGAAGCGAAGACCCAGGTAGAAACACTATAAAAATGCAATAACCAATGCTGTACATCTACAAATCTGCTTCTCTCCATGAACGTGACCTCTGGTTAACTGTGTATACGCATGCTTTCAAGACATGCAGTGTCAGGAAGAAATGAGAGGAAAAAACCCGAACGCACGGTCTGCACCCTTCGTCTCATGCTCTAAGAAACCTACTGCCTAAGAAGTTGGGCAAAGAAACCAATATATATTCTCTATATTTATAGACTGAAAATGCATGCACCCGGGGAGAAGCCCCAGCAACGGCGTGGACGTACTGCATTAACCCTGAGAACTGAAGAACGTAAAAGTAAGGCCAGTTTGGGAAGTTCCAAGCATCTTAAACCCACTGTGGTTTGTTGCCTTTGACAAACCCACAAACGGACAGACAGACAGACAGAACAGACACGCGCACACACATGCCCCTCTGCTCATCCACAGTCAAAGCCGTCGGGAAGTACCGAGGGGAAAGCAAAAGGAGAGCCAGTGGCCCACTACGGCACAGCCCACAGCGGCACGTCAGGCCCACTGCGGCATGGCTGACCTCCATCCTGCTCTCTTTTCCAGCTTTGGCCTTATTCCCCTCCAAATTAACCAGAGAGAGAGCACAACTGGAAAAAAAAATTTCTTTGGAAACTGTCCCTGATTTTTATGCAAATGATATGCTTCAACAGCACTGGAGACACCCCGTGGAAAGCTGTCTGCTCTCTAAGCGTTGCTCAGGTTGGTGAAGCTCTGCGGGTGGTGCTGCTGCCACAGCTGCTTCCTCTGGACCGCAAGCTGCTGAGACTGGTCTGAAGTCGACAGGAGGTTTATGAGCGGGGACACACAATTGGCCGGAATGATCAAACCTGCAGTTAACAAGAAGGCATTAAATTAAGGCTGCATCCAGGCGAGACGCAACACACCTCACAGCAGATCCTCAGGCCAAGACAGTAAACACAGCAAACGAGAACTCAACACAAGACCAAAGGGCTACGTGGTGGACAAGATGAAGCCCGTTCCTATGAACTAGCCTCCTCAGAAGCCCCACTCTAAAAGTTCATCACTGTAAGGACTAAGGGCCACTTGGCCTCAGCCAGCGTATTTTCAGTCATCTTATTTGCATGTGGAAGCTGGGAAATGAATGAGGAAGACTTGGTGCCGTTGTTTTGAGAACTATACCGAGTACACCGTGACCATTCAAGAAGACACAAATCTGAAGAAGTGCATCCACAATGCTCCTTACAAGTCCCCCGGAGGAGTCCTGGAGAGGGCTCCGTCCCTGGAGAAGCACATCTCACTCGATGAACTGAGAGGTCAGTGAGAAGAGGAAGACCCTCAACCACACGGTGCTGCGGCACACAGCCTGACGGTGAGCCTGGTGCAGGACCAGGCAGGCTGTGGAACGTGGCCCCTGGGTCCCAGGAGTCTGAACAGACTCGACAGCTCCCAACAACGTGTCCTCTCACTTTATTGTTGGAGGAGCACTTCATTACCTCTGTAAAACGCATCTGCAGACCCCCCAAGAAGCCTGTGAACAGCACCGGCTTCTCCGTATCACAGTGCAACCCCAAAGACTGACTGCAAAGCAAGAGAGTCAATGCTCTCATGCAGCAACAGTAACAACACAGGCAAAGGGTACGAACGGTCCGGGTAAGGACACCCCAACTGCCTGTCCACACACTGTGGGAATCCACGTCTAGCACCACAGGTAGGCTCTTTTTTCAAAGAAGTTGGAGAGCCAGGCTTCAATCGCCTTGGGCAAGTACCACCATGGACTGGGTCCTAGTAGCCTGGTGGAGGCCAGTCCGCCCGCCTCTGCCCATCCTAGGCCCTGCCTGGCACCAAATCATCACTTGGGCAAGGTGGCTCAGCCGCACACCTTCATCTTCGTCTGCCCGGAGAAGGAAAATCTGGGAGTGCTCTGGGTGAGAGGCTAAGCTCAGTCCTCGGTTCAGGCGGGGACAGTAAAGAAGGGGAGCAAGGGGAGCCGAGAGCTGCAGAGATCCAGCACCAGAGCCTCTGCCAGGACCAGCGGAGTCAGAGGTCCCGCTTCAGTCAGCCGTCTCCACGCTCACTGCCAGCAAACACGTCAAGGGGCCGAGATGGCAGATGCAAAATGAGAACACAGTAGGGTTTTCTGCAGAATGCAAACAAATAAACCAAAGCAGACTCACCCACGATCCGCTGTCCGTCCTCCGTTCTCAGCCGCACTATCTGCATTTTCACGTTTGTGCCACTGACCGATGCTAGGACACCCTCAACTTTTGTCCACACGCTCAAGACAGAGCCACATAGTACATAGTATGTGCGGCAGCGAAGACCTATTTCACAAACTAATCCCAGGCTTGCTTTTTTGCAATTGCCACGCCTAGAAGAGACAAGGAAGCAGGAGTGAGGACTGTGTTTACATAGACACACACATACAAACGTACGTGCACACGTTCAAAAGCTCACACTGTCCACCCAGATTTCAAATGGAACGTATCTCTACATTTTACTTTCAGAAAAATGACTAAATTTTTTAGATGAGAATCCTTTTGGCCTCACTTGATATCCTCTGTCCAATTTACCACTGATTTTCAAAACTAAAGTTTAATGCTGGGGACCAATACCTTGTGGAGCAATTGATCTACTGGTTCTGCTGTTGACTATCAGCCATCAGTTCTGGAATCACCCTAGTGGTAACCCCCCCAGCCAACAAACAGAAAGGAGAACAATGTCGGTAAACAGAGGAGCAAAGTCCTAATGGCAATGTTTTCACAAACCAGTACTTTTCCAAGCACTCATTCAAAGTCACCTTAATATACACAATGTACATACTTTTCTTGACAAAACTCGAAGCAAATATTTTAGGACTTCTATAGGTTAACTTGTAAAAATCATCTTACAGGTTTTCCCCAAGTTAATTTTCTGACAACTGGCAAGCGGCACTGCTTGAAGCAAACACATTTATCCACCTGCAGGAGGCAGCTAAGCAAATGTGGCTGCAATCATCTACCTGCTATAACTCTTCACAAAGTCAGCGACCCCAGGAACACTGGTACCCCTTTAGGGGGTGAGAAAACAATCAACCAAGACCCAGTGATGAGGAGAGGGCACCAAGACAATGTCTGCTCCACAGACCTCCCAGACACAGGCCTGGCTGTGTGAGCCCAGCCCTGGAAACAGTGACTCTGTTTACACCCTTCTCCTGGATGATTCCATTGGATCCTGATGGCAGGCTGGAAATAACAAAGCACCAAGGATACTAACCAGTAAGCATGGGTACAGGTATCTGCAGACGAGTTGTACTGCTCTAACCAGTGCGCCCGAGCGTCCTCAGAGACCACCTGTGAAGATAAATACACACACTTCACCTAACAGTTCTACTCGAAACACGCCGCCTGTCTAACCTCGTCTCCAGAGGCAGCCAACTGACAGGTACTCCTGCACAGAAAAGGCCATCTTCCATGAAGGTTCAGCTCACTGGTGTGTAGAAACCACTGCTAAAGTTAAGCCTAGAGGTGTGCTTCCGATGAAGGTAGCAGGACAGGGTCAGTGTGGTTCATTTCCCTTCATCTGAAACATTTTTGTAGCTATGTGGCAACTCATATAGTTTTAAGTAACCAAGCTGTAAGTTCAGTGGCCTATACATTAAAACTGAGGTATCAACAAGTGTGAGTGTCTACCATCACTTCCCTCCCACCTGCCGCCCCAAATTCTTGAAATATAACCAAATAGGAAATAAATGGCAAGGCCATCTATCTGGACACAAAGTTTACCTAAACACAGCCTCAAGGTTTTACTGCAAAACAAAGACTCACATACAATAAAACACACAAATGAGAAAAATACCTTTTTGTATTTCTTTTTAAGATCAGAGTAAATTTCTAGTTTTAGCTGTTTCCCAGTATTTGGTCTATAAACTAAGAAAAGCTTCTTTTTAGGGTTCACTTCTTTAACCAAGATGGCAGTTTTCTTGTTGTTCCTTATCTATATTGAAAAAGAAAAAGAAAATCCATAAAGATTAGAAAACATATATATGTTTCAGGATGTTAGCTTCTGACCCACACAGCAGCAGCCCATACCACCTCACCTGGAAGATGGTCACCTCAGAAGGGTGGCCACTCACTCAGGCCTGAGTGTCAACAAGGCCACACACCATCAACCCAGCAATGTGCCTTAATTCTCAGGGAGCCCCTGACAGATGAAGGGCTGAGTTATTTGAAATGAAAATTCTGTTTTAAAGAGGAGGGATGCCCTGCTTACACTTTTCCAGTAGCCGGGATCATGACCCAAGCAGCCACATGGGGACATGTAAGCATGACAAACTGTCTACAGAAGAATCCAGCAAGTGGACCAATGAGGCCGCAGACTCAGGAACCAGGTGTATAGATGCTGAACACCAGGCAGACATGGAAAGAGGAAGAAGCAATCATGAAGGGTCCAGCTTGGGTAAGGGTTTTAACTTTTAAACACTGGCCCTATGAGAGAAATTCTGAAAGAAAAGCATTTTCTAAAAAGGCCCTCAAAAAGAACAAAATAAGTCTCTTTTTAAGTGATGTAAAGGGCGTCTAAGCAATCTCTTGAGTAAAAAAACTGGAGAAGAAAACTTTCAAAATGAACATATTTTCTCAATTCTTCTACACGATAAACTACTGTTCATTGAGTCAGCTCTTTGAATGAAGATAACATTTCAAATGATTAAAACAGAACTAGGGGAGCTCTGGTGGCGTAGTGGTAAGGAGCTGCAACTACCATCCCAGAGGCAAACGGTTCGAATCCACCAGATGCTCTGCCGGGGAAGGAGGGACAATCTCCTCCTGTACCAGTCAGATCTGATTTGACGGTACACGCACATAAAAATAATAAAGAAAAAAAAAGAAGAAAAAAAAACAGAACTAAAAACCTAACAGTCTGCTTTTCTCTTCATGGACATTAAGGAGCCTTTGTTACTTGTTTCCAATGGTTTGATATGGTTTATATAACCAAGAGCAAGTCCCAGAACGGCAGTTAAGGTGAAGATTACATTGGAAACTTTTATCATGTCGGGAAACACTTCCCAAGCTCAGTATACTTGGCTGAAGATGCAGCAGTGTGCCCTGCCCTGCGTGCCCAGCTGGCCTCTTCACACCACAGTGGGAGCAGAGGCACGGTCATGGCGTCTCAGGCAGGAACCCGGGTTGGGGGTCTATCAGGACCCGCTTTGGGCTGCTAGCTGCTAACTGAAACCACGTCAACTTCTCGTGGAGCTTGTGGGTTGAGTCTGCCGGCCTTTCACAACATGCTCCAGAGAGAATGATGAGGCATTCCCCACCAGGTAAGAGAGTCCGAGGGGATAAGAGGGTGGTGGAGACTTCAAGCAAACTTGTGATGGGAACGCTGCTCAGCCACGTGTGCCCCCCGTCACGGCAGTTCCGGGGCCAGTGGCTGCATCTTCACGCAGCCATGCCTCTCCTGAACCCACCTCAAGCCACTCTCAGGCAGTATGACCACATCCGGCTGAGCTGAAGAGAGGAGGAGGGTTTCCACACCATCTACCAGTGCTGGCGTGAGAACAGTCATACAACTCAAAGCACAGAAGCAGGGTGGCTGAAGTGTTCACACACAAACAACTCCACGGGGTTGTGTTTTGCTACAGATATTTTCCACACCAACAAAAATGAAAATGAATTCTAAACATCTCCCAGTGCTTGAATATTGACAGTAATTTCTAATGAGACGCTAAACACCACCCTGTGTTGTGCGCGCACACACACTCTTTCTTTCCTTAGTTCTGTCCACGGGCCAGCTAAAAGGATGTCACTACACTAAAACCAGACAACTCAGTCCTGAAGACGTGAAGCATTATTAGAATTAAATGAGGTCAGTTTAGTATAAAAAGAGTTCAATAATAAAGGAAACATTAACTCTAAAGTTGTAAGCTTCTAATAATGGCTCACAATATACTAGATGAAAATTTCTAGAAATGAGTTAAGTCCAGGCGAGCTCTGGTGGCCTAGTGGCAAGAAGCTGCAACTGTAATCTCAGAGATACACGGTTCGAATCCACCAGATGCTCTGCTGGAGAAGGAGGAACAATCTCCTTCTGTACCAGTCAGATCCGATTTGACAGTACACACAAAAAATAATAAAATGATTTTTTTTTAAAAAAGAGTAAATCCACAACTGCTAGATTATCAACATAACATGTATACTTGGAAAATCAGTGCAAACAAACCAGGTAATGCCCAGGCTGGACATGAAAAAGCACTACACAGTCCACCAGGTCAGAGTCAAAAACAAAACAAAGGACCAGATGTACCTGTAGTGACAAGTAGAAACCATCGTCCGGTCCTGTCATCTCGGCCCACATCTTGGTTGCTTCCTCCCAAGACATGCCCCGCTCCACACTAATCTGTAATCGGAAGGAGGGAAATGACATTCAGGCCGCAACACAGAAGAAACCGACACCTGAAGGGGAAAAGGGTCCCCAAACTTACCGTGTACAGCTCTACATGTCCAGAGGTTGAATATCCAGGAGTCAGAAACTTCTTTACATCACTTTTCCTCACCTTTTC